CCCCCCCCCCCCCCCCCCGCTTTCCTTTTCTGCAAGACAAAGATAATTTACCTGCCCTACACTGTGTTGTGAGACTTAAACAATGTGTAAAAATGCTTTAAGATCCCTGTATTCAAGATAGGTACCCAAGTGCAAAATGCTGTAATGCTGAATATCTGCAGGTCATGCTAATTCCAATCTCAGCACTAAATTCAGGAGGATAACAACAAAATCCTGAAGAGCTTAAAAAAAAAAAAGCCAGTGCATTTTTTTCCAGGTACAACCATACCAGTCAAACCTCACCTGTCAGGACACTGGAAATAGGTTCCTTTTTAAAAACCAAACTGCTAGTTTTTCTGGGTTGCAGAGAATAGCTTCAGACAGTCATGCTTCCTTCAAAGGCTTCCAACTGCAAAGATAACTTTCAGCCAGCATAGCAGGTGTTGAGACCCTACAGCTTCCCAGCATTTGATACATTCAATAAAAATAAAAAATGCCTTCCTTCTCCAGGTTCAACACAAAAGTACAAGCATGGACATCCTACTTGTATGAAAGAGGGTGAGCTTAATTAACACACCTAATACAGGCTGTTTTTACTCATTTTCACACCTTATAGTAGATTTGGTGCCATCTTTATATCCTGGGATGGCAGATGGAGCCCATCAGAACAATAGCTGAGGAAGGGATCAGATAACCCAGAGTTTAACTGAGCGTAGAAGACAAAATCTCAAGACATGGGGACTGGTATTAATAGTATAAATCAAAAGGACAGCCAGGTTGACCGGTCTGAGGACTGAATGCCTCTGGTTAGCCAGGGGATGTTTATAGCCCAGTCCAGAGCTGTTCTAGTTTTCTTACCCTGCCCCTCCTTGTACAGTGACTTTATACTTGTTTGACTACTGGGGCAAGAAGAATTCATTCACAAAGGCTTTAGCTTTCCTTTTGGAAGTGACTGCAGCAAAATATCCTACTGATATCAAGAAGGTGGCATGCTGCTTTCAGTGAGTGGACCCAGTCATAGGCCAGGGCATATTCAATTCACGATTCTACAGATTTTGTGGAAACTGAAAGCCAGCATTGTCCATGAAATCAACTTAAAAAAAAAACTTAATAAAAATAAAATGTTGGCTCCCCAGTGGGGACCAGCAGTCCTTGCTGCTGTTGCAGCGCAGCCTCACAGCCTGCCCGGGGCAGGGGAGACGGCACTGGCTGGCAGAGCAGCATGAAGAGCAGCAGACAAGGTGGCAGCTGCCAAGGCCTCTCTGCCAACCAGTGCCAAGGGGCAGGGGTGCTGGAGAACATCCAGGAAATATCCGCAGAATTTGCAAAAATTGTTTAGTTTCTCTGTGATTTAAGTAGACCCCTTAGCTATAGGTATAAAGGTGTTCTATATTTCTATATAAGAAGAAAAATAAGCTGTGCCAATATACTTTATGTCAGTAAAGCTTCATGCACTTTTGGGGTTGTACCAAGGAAAAATCTTGCTCCTAACCAAATAGTTATACTAGAGGAAATGCTGTGCATCAAGAAGGTCTTAAATGATGTGCGAGTCTTGTACTGACTGTATAGGAGTCAATTTAATCTAGTTACACCAGTGTAAATCCCCAGTATTTCCAGTGATCTAAAAAAAATTACTTTGGACTGAGAGTCGTACAAATGAAAGCATTTGCCCCACGTGTTTGTTTTCTGTTTTGTTGCATAACTGAAATTAAAACACTCCGTGTTACTTCTAAGCTTCTAGGAAAAGTCAGAAGATATTACATTAAAAAGCTACAAGTTGCTGGCTGTGGTGGTGATACTATTTTCTAAGTCCTTTTCCTTTGGTTTCAGCTGTAACTAAGCAGTTAATAGAATCCATGATTTGCTCAGAAATCGTTTTGCTAGACCACAGGGACTCCATTCAAATATTAGAAAGCCACTTGATAGGTATACTTTCCAGTGGAGGCTGCCACTAAAGGGACCCACTCTGGATATAAGCCCTCAGCCCATCTGGCAAGTAGTTCACTGGACTATATGTACAGGTGTATGCACAGATTAATGAAACACCATACAGGGAGGACACAGAACTCACTGTTTTTGCATTTTCAAATCCTTTTTCATTTAAGAAAGTGATTTTAAAAAGCCAATATTCTAGCTCAATGCTCTAGCTCAGGCACAAAATCTACTCAGCAGCTTTATGTCAGGAGAACTGATTGTAATGAAAAAAGAGCAATCTTTTGCTTGAACATTTAAAAAAAGTCTCTATCCAGGGCATGTAAAATTTTGTAGCACAGGGTAAAACTCTCTGATCTCTGATGCAGTTGGAGTAATCAGACTTTATGCTCTGCATGGGGAATTGAAATTAGCCCACTCTGAATATACTAGTAAGCAAGAGGAATACAGGGAAGAGCAGTGGACGGCCCCTGGATCTGAACCAAGGTGCCTAGTGGCAGGGGCAGATACTGCTACTTGATAAGAGTAGTAGGCAAGGAGGATTATGAAGGAGCTGTACTGTGGGCTTGAAATGATCAGAGTCAGTCTGGCATACATTGGCTAATGGATGTGCTGCTTCGGCCACCTTCTTTTTCATAAAGAGGAGTTAGAAAGTACGCCTGGCCTTCCACCAATAGGTGAATTTCATGCATTATTCTCAATTAACCTAACAGAGTGAATAACCAATTCAATTAATTTTGCCTTTTCTACTAAAATAATTTCCACAAACTGTTTAAAAATCTAGCTGTTGCTCAAAATCACTATCCGAGTATTTTCTGTGAATTGTGCTTTGTCTGTAGGTTGTTCATTCTGATTAACTGCCTTTTGCAATTCAGGTGGGATTGGTTAGCTTAGATTGGACACAAGGCACCTGGCATTGCTTCTGTTCTCTGGTTGGATTAGTAAACACTTCAAATCAGGTTTCCTGAAGTATCACATGAATAAGTTCAAAACATGCTTTCTGCAAATAATCTTCAATATCTGCTTATAATTTGCTGTTTCCACAAAAATTCCTGGCAGTGAACATGGTGCTTGGATTCTACCATTTTTTTTTACAAGCATCTACTTTCCTTTAACAGGCCCCACTTGGCAAATATTTCAAATTCCTCTCTTCCTCTTTTGACAATTCAGCTTTACTCATTATTTTTAGCTGAAGCTATTGTTTCTACCCATGGCAATACTGATCATTCAATGGCACGGGAGATCTGGGGCATACACAAAGTTCTTCATTTTCCTCCTAGGCATAGAGGCCAATTGTAATGGATGAGAAACAGGTCTGGAAGGAGTACGGCAAAAATCAGAAGAGGAGAAAGCAAGGCTACGTCTATGGAAGAGCTGGCTAGGGAATTCATTTTGTGAAAAACATCAGGTTCGCAGAATGTTTTCCCTCAACACTTGAGATGAAGAGCCAGACACCCATTTTTTTCCCCAAGGGACTGAAGTTAAATGATATTTAATTTTAGAAGCACTAATACGATGCTTCAGCAAGTGTTTTTAATGAAATGTGCTCCCTGGAGTCCTAGAAAACCTGAGACCCACAGCAGGTTGCAAGTTTACATGCTCAGGTCTACTTTGGGAGGTTAGTGGTTGGGTTAGGAGAAAGCAAGGCAGGCTAGCCAAGTAGCTGGACAGTCAACTTAGAGGCCATTGAAAGTTTTAATAGAATTGACATATTCCCATGCACTGTTTGGACTTTATTAAATCAGTATTTTCTGATGTGGAAACCCCCCCCAAAAAACATTTCACTGTGACCAGTTCTAGCCTAGGGCTTAGAAGAGGAAAGAGCAGGGGTGAAGGCACACACCAGTCAGGCGTAGATCGGGCTCTGGAGGGCGTGTGGGTCAGGGAAGTTATCAAATATTAGCACTATCTGGGGCTTGGACCGAGAAGGCACAGCTCGAGTATCCAAGGGGCAAAAGTGGTGAAGCATAGGGGGCCAGTAACATGCCTAGAAACATCATCACTCAATGGCCTGTCATTGTTTAATCTATCAACTGATATCAATTTGAGAGCTGGTTTAGAGCAGTGGGGGGCAACCTTTTTGATAGGCATGCCACAAATTAGCCCTGAACTCTCCCTGCGTGCCACTGATTTCCTTCCCTTGCCTGCTCTGTTTTCTGCTCCCTGCCCTCTCTGCCACGGTGTAGCCTGTCTCCTCCTCAGCCAGCTGCTTGCCACACACACAGAAACTGCCCATGCCATGTATGGCACCTATGCCGCGGGGTGGCTACCTCTGGTTTAAAGGACTTTACTATTTGGGAGAGTTTCTGAAGCTGAGGGAGGAAAGGGTGGGGAGGGGAAGATGGCAGACAAAAAAGTTTGGATTTTTTTTTTTTTGGTTTTTAATTGAACAAAATCACAAAAATTAAAAAAAAACCCGATGAATCTGAAATAAAAGTATTTTTTTAACTAAAAAGAAAAGAAAGAGTGAATGAAAATTGGTGCTCAGTTCTAAGGATCATCTTTATATTAAATAAAGAATTGCTATGAATGCAGTACAGTTCAGGGTACAATTGTAAAGTGGCCCTGATAAAAGATTACTCAAGAATCAAGCAGTACAGTCTAATTTATTCTATCTAAACGTAAGAGAGGCTGAAGGTCTAGTGGCTAATATTTGTGATTCGAGGTTAGAAGATCCCAGTTTTGTTTGTGGCTTTTCTATTGCTTGTTGTTTGATCTTGAACAAGCCAAATGATTGATGCCTCAGTTTCCCCTTCTATGCATAGGCATAGTAAATATCCTCTATTGCACCAGAGTGTTATGAGGCTTAATTAATGTTTCAAAAGGGTTTAAGATGTATGGAGAGAAAGCTCTGAAGAAATACAAAGTATTATTTTAATAAATGGCTCTTGATTCTTTCATAAAACTTCTGCTTTAAATGTATTATATGTTTTTTAGGCATTGGAGATACGAGTATTTGTACTGGCTTCATTCCTTCTCTGAATGTGCAGACTTGCAATAAATAATTTTTATGGTGGTCTCTTTAATCTGCTTTCTGAACCGCATTAACTTGTTTCCGCTTGTTCCTAGCAGGCTGGTGTTAGGACCCAGAAAAGAGACAGCAGCAACACGATATAAATAGAGTACCAGAATGGGACAAAGTTTGAGAAGAAAGCATGACATCACTCAGACTTACTCTCCACCCAAAAAGATCTGGGATGGAGGTGCAAACGTGAGCCAGACAAGCGAGGAGCTAGCAACACAGTTCAATCCAATTCCTAAGGAAACAGTGAGAGTCAGATGTCCAGTGGAGCAGAAGGGGCTACTTTTTTATGATGAGAACCAAAACTGACTTCAGATCTCTGACAAAGTAAAAATAATTGGATAAAAGAAAAAAAAAGAAAAAGAAAACCACAGACAGCAAACACTGTAAAATAAGATCTCTTCTTTTGGCACAAATAACAGCAGAACTACTTGCATTCTTTCTGTGCAATTGCACAATTTTTGGATCTTATTATTTTTATCTTATGATTTTGCTCCAGTCATGGTTATGTGTTTTTTGGTAATTCAAGTGATCCACATTTAAAGCAAGCAAATATTCATGAAGGCTCTGGAAGAATATATTGCTTTCTCACTGGAAGAATGGAGTTTCTGAACCTGTGTGGAAAATGCAGATTTTAAAAGAAAAAAAGTAGCAAAGGAGAACTTGTGTTCATGATTGAAATCTCCCAGGAATTAGATCTCAATTGCACTTGAAAACGCAAAAGGACCATGAAGAATTTGTTGTCTCTGCTCTGTTATTATTTGCTGCAGATTTTATTTCAGTCTAAATATCAGGTAATATTCAGAACTTGGGTAACAGTGAGATTTTTCCTGTTTATTCTTCAAAACTTTTGCTTCACATTGTTTTATTCTGTCATATTTTATGTACAGGTGTATGGAAACTATTCCTGGCTACCTAAACACCCAGGTAAGGACATTTTTATTTATCATTGATACTACCACGTGCTTAATTGTTACAGTATATTTATTTAGCAAACCTTTTGTTTTCTGGTTTATATTTCATTTTTTTAGTTGTTACAAGGGATCATACAAGACCATACTAAAAATCTAGTGCCGGGCATTCAATCTAGAGTACCGGACAATTGCAGTTACTTAAAAGTTCAGGTCTCCCTATAGTGACATCTTGTATTAAAAGAAATACAAAAATAAATTCTGTGCACATTTCACAGAATAGGCTACCACCTTTGTGCATGAGAATTTTTTTACGGTTTTTTTCACTTGAGTTGGTCTTTGAATTGTATTTACACAGAGATTACTTTCTCTTTCACCACAATGTGCTAGTGTTCAGCACTTCAAATTCATTGACTTGCGGCTAGAAGTGCCGGTTCACATACGTTACATTGCATTTGTGTGGCTCCAGTCATTTAAAAGCCTTTGATGATTAAATGTAGATTGCTCGGGACGGAACCGCAGCATGTTTTTCTTCTGAGCTCTTGTCATCTGTTTTCAATGCGAAAATCACTCAAACTTATTTGCTGTGTGTGTAACTGGAAAGATCTTCTGTTTGCACAAATAGTTTAGCCTCAAGCCTCATGGTGGTGTACAAGTACAATTTTACAGTTTAAGCAATCCACAGAATGCCCTGTGCTTTTAATTTCTTCCCAGATGTACTAGCTTTCAAAGAAAACTGCTGCATGCTGCAGGAGAAGCCCTGTTCCGTCCTGTTGCAATACATGAATCCCCACCCTGTTATCTGAGTCCTAATTATAGCGTATGTGAGTAAGCTAGTGCCCTTGCTCATATCAGTTTCTTCTGTTTCCCCTTCATCTGGTAAACATTAACATATTGTGTCAATTCCTATAGAAAAGGATGAATGACCTGTAGCTTAAGAAGCAATAGAAGAAACATAGGTTGTATATAAATATTATGTATTGCAGGGGGAGGAGAGTTATAAAAGAGTCCCCAGTTTGGATGGGGACCTAGAAATATTAAGCTCTAAATCAGTGGTCCCCAACATTTTAAGAGTCAAAGCACCCCTTGATAGATTTGAGGCACCCCTCAATATAATGAAGGTACCCCTGGAAAAAATGCCAGCTCTTAGTTTTCGTTGCTTTTTGACTACAAAAAAAGAAAAGAACAATTCTTCTGTTGCAAAGAACTCAGAAAGACCACAGCAAGTCGGGATGTTGTTAACACTGTGGATAAAAAACACTATTTGAAAACTCTGAATTTATCTTGTGAATCATGTTTGCACAACTAACAGTACTAATATTGTGCAGCACCCCGTGCAACACCTCTTGAAAAGGATCTCAAGGCACCCTGGCTGAGAATCTCTGTTCTAAATGATTCTATCTTGATTTGCACTATGATGTAATCTTCCCATCATACATGGTCCAGCATGTACAGCAAACAGATTCATAGTAATTTTGTACTTATAAATTGAAAGGAAAGTTAAGTGAACAGAAATTAAAGGAAAGCCAAGTGAACAGACATACCAGTGGTTTTCAACCTGCTGGCATTTTTTGGAGGCTCCTTCAGGCTGGATTGGCTCTGAGCATGGTTTAGAGAAGGAGTGTTAAAGTTGTCCTGGGCTGGATCCAAAATGCAGGGCTCCTTGCAGGTTAGATCTAGCCGTACTGGTGGGGTGAGCACATCAGGGATCCCTGGGGGTTTATGTAGCTATTACCCACCAACTCCCTCATCTGCCTGCCCCTTTGCCCCCTGCTCCTGACACACATCCCCAAAAGAGCCTTGTATCTCCGATTCTGGTGGTGGGCCACACTCCTGCTCTCATCCCTCAATTTCTGGCCCTTCCAGGGGCCCTGTGGCCCAAACAATATGACTCTGTGGGCTGGATCTGCCCCAGGGGCTGTATTTTTGACACCCCTGGTTTAGAAAATAAAGTACTGGATGGAAATCCAAGGAACCTGTGTCCTAGTCCTCACTTCGTCGCTGTCCTGCTCTGTGCGACACTGGGGAAGTCACTTCTCTGTGTTGCTGTTTGCTCTCCCACTTTTTGTCTATCTTTTCTGTTAATTGTAGGCCGTTTAGGGTAGAGATTCTCCCTATATGTTGGGATGATGCCAAGCACAATGGGGCCCTGATCTCAATTAGGCCTTCTGGATGCTAGTGTAATACAACTATAACAATCAAGTGTCTCATTATGTCCTGGCACAGCTGTTGGCATCTATTCATATTCTCTCTGCCTCTTTGTTTTCTCTCCATTATTTATATATTTAGTTTTGCCTGACCATTCTCCTCCTTCATAGATTCAGCCTTTTTTTCCTCGTTCCTCACTTCTCTGAAAGTTAGATACTCTTGGCAGTGGGAGACATCTTCCTAAGCAAGCATCACAAACAAGGGTGCACATTCTATGCTTTAGAAAGAGGTGGGGCTGCCAGGCTTCATGGGTAGCTAGTTGGGAAACAATTAGCACAAGCAGTCCATGGGGATGCTCTTTGTGCACTGGAAAGCTGCTGCTTTCATTTCCTCTATTGGAGCCAGCGTACACTTTTGGATGACATGCAATGAGGATGATAAACCATGTCCTCGTCCGGTATCCCAGTCCCTCAGTATTCTTTGCACACCTGATCCCACACTAAACTCAGTAGCGATTTTGTTCTCCATGGTATTCAGATTGGGTTATAAATATGTGTATGCATCCAGTATAATTGTCTCCTTAATTTAAAGAACAAAACCAATTAAGACTCCTTTCTCTCCTTCTCAGCTTGGTCTGGCCCTGTGCTTTCCAAGAATGCAAAATAACATGCAAAACTATCTATCCTCATCCACAACCACAAGCTTCCCTCATCTTTGGGTAGCTGTGACATTTTTTCCTCAAGCCATAGTTTTTTTTGAGAGAGGTTCTCTGACCACTGAAAACATATGTAGTCAAGAAGGGCAACTGGGGACGCCAGTCTCCTGCACTGATCACCGGTGTCAAAAGCAGACAGCACTGCAGATGTTTCACCAGTGATACTGCTCTCTATTTTACAGATCAAGTGTTTGCAAGTAATGCAGGGCTCCTACAAATTCAACTGTCTTAGCTCCAAAGGTCCACATCAACCACTTCTTTCTGACACACAATGGGTGTATCTACATGAAATGCTTTACTGTGCAGTAGACTAATCTATCACACAGTAAAGTGTCACCATCTACACTTGTGCAGCTACGGTGCACTAAATTGGTCTACTGCACAGTTAGTTACTACCCATAAATACAAGTCGTAAATTAACTGTGCAGTAGATACTGTGCAGTAGCGCATGTGTAGACACTTGCCAGGAGCAAATTTGCTCCTGGTCAGCCCCTACGCTAGGGGGCCACAGGGGATGAGGAACTCCCACCTCCCTGTCTCCCTCATGTCTCCCGCCCCTCCTGTGTTCTTCACCAGTTGCATTGGCACCATTCCTGATGCAAAAAGGGCCTCAAAGCATTATAGCCTTGCAATTGTGCTATATTGTAGGGATTGTTCAAAACAAATTTGTCCATGTGATAAAAGAACCCCTATTATACTTTTGGGGTCAATGAAATGT